ACCCCCAAGGATTTGCGTGGGAGTCCTGCCTGCATCAGGGAGGCAGGATCTAGTCTGTAGAAACTTCCCCTCAGCAGGTGAATAAAACATGGAGGTTCTGTGTCTGTTCACCTCTTGTTTATCATTTAAATTGGCAGCACCCGCCACACTGAAAGACTTAGTACAGTGGGGTGCAAGTACAGTATAGTACTTGCATATTTTATTGAAGCAGCCGTATGCAGACCCTGCAGCAGCCATTACTTCTGCACTGATCTGTGCCGCCCCTGGGAATGCACCCTGCCCCCACCAGCTTTACATCAGCAGAGTCTCAGAGCACTTGAGACACAAAGCAACTGATCCTCAAAGCCCTACTAAACCTGGGCACTCCTGACCTCACTTTTTTGGTGGAACAGAAGCAGACGGAGAGGCGGGGACTTGGCAAGGTCAGACGAGGAGTCTATGCAGTGTGGGGCATTAGGACTCCCTGCCACCAGTCAGTGCCTCCTGCTACCTGGCTCCTGAAGGAGCTGCAGGTTTTAGCTGAGTGCAGCTTTTATGCCAGGATGTTTTGCTCAGGCACGATCACCAGACACGTGCAGCCACACAGGACTCCACTGACTGCTTAGGGTTAACTCCTCACATGCCACTCATCTTCCGGGGGCAATGCACCCCCCAGTCCGGCGGTGTGGCTCCACGGGGACTCACCTGAAAGTCCTCCTCATCTAGGATCTCCTTCCGCCACTTGATCAAGAAGGCGGCGCAGACGTACAGATGGAAATGGGAGAATCCTTCCGGCTCTGACTGCAAAGGACACAAAGCTCCGGGTCAGTCCCTAACACAGAGGAAGGGGGAAGCTAGTGCCAATGGGGTCTGATTCACCTGCCTTTGTCCCCAGCCCATCATAGGGTACTCCAGGACATGCTTCACCACAAGGTACTTTAGATGCATGAGGGAACTGATTGCTTTGCTGCTGCTCATTTCCACAACAGCACTGGACTGCAAATGCCAGGTCCCTGTGGCACAGCTGTGCTGGATGCCCACACTAAGGTAAACAAAGGGAGGGTGGGCAACTTGGTGTGGCATACCTGGTAGGTGTCCCAGAGGCGGATGGTGCAGCGCAGAGGGAGCTCCCTCATTAGCAGATTGTTCATCCAGCGAAAGGCAAACTGCAGGTATTCGACTTCGTACTTCCTAAAGTGATTGTGTACCTGCTCTGAAACAGCACATGCCATTGGCGCCTCGGGGTCACAGTGCGGCCCGTGCCCCTGGGCTAAGGTGCTGCCTGGCTCAAACCGCACTCCCGCTCTTCCCAGGTGCTTTCTATGCCCCTCCTCCTCCCCCCCCAGCCACCCCCATTCATAGAAAAGCAGGGCTGGCAGGGCCCTCAGGCGGTCATTTAGTCCAACCCTCCACCCGAGGCAGGATCAGCCCTATCCAAACCATCCCAGACAAGAGCTTGTCTGACTTATTTCCCAAACTCCACTATCAGCCCTATCACACAACTGCAGGACACTCTGCCACCCTTACCTGGCGGGGTGGGGGCTCTCCATGCTTCCAAAATGAGCCCTGAAACCAAAACCCCTGGCATACCACCTCCATTCTTCTCCTACAACGTGCCCTTCCACATCCCCACTAGCCAGTCCCTGTTCTTCGTCAAACCATGCCTGCCCAAAAGGGTCTGCCACACACCACGACCCAAGACCACCATCATCAGCTGTGGGACTCATGGACGAGAGCCACGTGGCCCCCACCTTGCCCCTGTTCAGATCTTCTCACCACCTACCATCGATCCGGCTCACCAGCTCCTCCAGTGCTTTGACCTTCTTCTGGATCCCTGGCTGTGCAAAGGTGTAGTTGTCCTGCGGGATGACACTGTGTGTCAGTAGCAGCAGAAAGGACAGAGAAAGCACTTGTGTGGCTTGGAACGTAGCTGAGAGGCCCTCGCCCCTCCTTCTCCTCCAGGGGCTGCTGGGATAGAAGAGAGCAGTTCCCATGCCCCAGACCTGGATGAAATGTGGGGCCCAGAGAGGGAAAGAGACTCCAATAAGTGATGCATACAAGGCCACAAGAGCACATCAGTGGCAGAGTAGGATTTGGACTTGGAAGGCCCTGGAGCTGATCACCTGGGTTCTCAACATCAGAGGCATGCTGAGATTGTTATTACAGAAGCTCAACACAGGACAGTTGCTGAGAATGTTACTCAAGGAGGAGGCAGGGCTCGAGTGAGGGGCGGATGGCTATTCCCTGGCAGAGAGGATGCTGGGGCTGGCACCAGGTGAGAAGGAAGGGGGAGGTTGAACTCTGCTTTTAGGAGCGGCCCCTGGGCACCTGCCTGTATCCCGTCCAGCAGCTTGCTCATGCACCAGAAGCTGTCGGCCTCAATGCTGCGTAACACATCCTGTGACAGATTCGTCACGTCAAAGTTCTCCACGTCCTCCTCTGAAAAACAAAATGCCAAGAGAATCCCTAGGGCACATCCCAAGAAGGGAAGGCAGGGACGAGAATAGGTAGCATGTTCACCACTGCTCTTAGGGTCCAGATTTGTGGAGACATGGACCGAGGAGCCACGTGGAGGAACCAGCTCAACGTCCTACAGATGATGAGGTCAGAGATTCTCACCTAATGACTCCTGCATTAAGCTGGGAGAGACGTCTCAACAGCTGTGGGTTGAGAACACATCTAAAGTTCATCTGAGCAGAATGCTGCCAGCCCCAATGCCAAGGCCAAGGCTGCAGGAGTACTCTCCTTTCCTGCAAGTCTGACTGAGCCTGGCCTCCCCCAGCTGCTCCCTGTAGCTGCTTTCCTCAGGCTGCTTCCTCCTGTGCTGGCTGCTAAGCTGAAAGCACCAGGCCTGTTAAAGGCAGCTGAGATATCCTAGCCTGCCGGCATGCAGCCTTCAACAGTGAGCTTGAAGGGCCAATTTTCCTGTCTGCGCAGAGCAGGTGGCTGCACAAATCTCTCTGCACAGTCACTGGACAGGTGGCAACAGGCCATTAAAGAACAAGGCTGAGGCAGCAGCTCCTATGCAGCTGACCTAGTTCTGCGGGAGTGGGTGATGAAGTGGAGATGGGTGGAGGGCTCCAGCTCCAAGAAGCTTGGCAGCTGTGGGTTGTGAGTAAGCAGCAAACCTTACAGGCACAAATCATGAAGGGGATGGGGAAGCTATGCAGAACTGCAGCCTCTGCCTCCTCAGAGCAAGGGCCATGGTAGCTTCACAGTGCCTTTCCTACCAGGTGGCCTTGCAGGCCAAAACAAGGTGCCACCTTGGAGGTGGAGGCCAGCAGCTGTTCAGCAGCAAGCAGCAGCACTGCAGGGCAGGAAGGAGAGGGAACACCAAGGGAAACGGCCCTAGCTGGAATGTGCCCAAGGACTCAGCAGCTCTGTGCTCATGTCAGATCTGCTCTCAGCAGCAGCCCAACCACAGGAGCCAAAATTTTTCCTTGCCCTCCCTGCTGCTACTGCCTGTTCTGTCTCACCACAGAGAGAACTGCGTTGCAGCAGTATCTGGGGCAGGCTTTAGAATAAAAGGCATTGAGGGACGTATGGTCTGCTGCAGCGGTTTTCAACCTTTTTTCATTTGTGGAACCCTTTGGAAATTTCAAATGGGGGTCCACACCCCTTTGAATTGTAAGTGTGGGTAGTTGCATACTTTTCATTGATCATAGTCATCTTTTGCAGACCTTTTAGACATAGTCTGTGGACCCCCAGGGCTCTGTGGACCACACGTTGAAAACCACTGGTCTAGTGGTTAAAGCCAGGGCCTGCACACAGCTCTGAGGAAGTCACGGCACCCCTCACTGCTGCAGGATCCCCAACTGTAGTTGGGGGGGGCAGGTTCACACCACCCTGTCCCCAAGGCTTATGGCAGATGTGGGCCCCAGTTTCAGAGGTGTGGGTGCTGGCATCTCTCTGGGCTTTCCAGTGCAGGTGCCTTTGGAAACCAGGTTGAGAGGCCGGGCCTTTCAAAGGAAATGCGGGAGTTGGGACTGTTCTGAATTCAGACAGCTCTTAGCCTAAGCAACCATGGCTAGGGGATTTCCACACTACCACACTACAACTAATAAAGAAGCACCTAAGTCCCAATGAAACTGAAGGAAGATGAGGCTTTTCATTCCCCCCAGGGCCTGGCAAAGCAGGGACCGTTGTGTGTAGAAAGCGGGGCTGGGAATTCGCACTGAACTAGCTGTGCAGTGACTCCCTGCGTGGGCTCTACCACATGGGCACCACCACTCCACTGCAAGAGCCTGGCACACAGGCAGTGTTGAGCCTCCTGGCAGCAGCAGGAGGGGAATGGGGACAGGAGTTATAAATGTGGCTGCTTGGTAGGAAGAGATGGGAGCTATGCTAAGTTGGCAGCTGGAGCCTACAAAAACATACAATCAGGTGGAGCAGGAGGGCTTTGAGAGTCTGGGCAGAGCTGTGAAGGCATTAACGGCTCTTAAACAACTGAAAAGCCTCGCTCAGGGTGCTGAGGTACTGATGGCAGCGCCTCCGCACAGGGAAACTGCTCAGCTTCAGACAGCCGCTGCCCCTCGCTAGGCTGACCCAAAACTGGAGTGCCAGGGGACAGAGCTGCCTCACACAGGAGAAGCTGCAGGTTTTCTGGGGGACTTGGGAGGACAGGACTCTTTTGCAGACTCGGTTTTCAAATCCAGCTAATTAGGAGCTCAGCAGGTGCCTGTTGCTGTCAGTTCAGTCCCTGAAGGGCACATGGCATGTGAAAGGCAGCACTCCCTTCCAACAGGCTGGGAGAAGTGTGTCAAACAGGAGTTTGTGGCGAGACAGCAGGATGCTGACCGATGTGCATGGCCATGCATGGCCCAGACACACAGGATGGCTCCTCCAGTGCCTTGTGGCTTTAGTGGAAACCTCTGGAGGTGGCAGCGGTAGGAGTCAGGGGCTGGGGCACCAGCCTCTGCCAGGAGACCTGTGTGCTCTACCAATGACCTCAGCTGGTCTGAGTGCCCAGCATCTAATACAATGGGGGCTGGAGGACCCTGCAGTACAAACCAGTGGGGCTGATGCACTTGGCTCCCCCTAGGGTTCATGCTCCATGAGCCTGGGTGGAGGGAGGTAAGAACATGCACAACAGGCGGGCCACCCCTTTGGGCACTGGGGAGTTGTCTGAATGCTGGAGCCCTGGGTACCGCTGGATTAGAAGAGCAGAGGATGCCCTGCCCTCAGGGAGGGGGATCTCACCACAAACTCCCTTTAGAAGTCAGGTCAGGCTCACCCAGCCTTCCCCCTGCCCCAAGAGAAGCCTGCCCTGGAGCCAAGGTCTCAAGCAACCTGTGTTTAATGCTCCACTAGTTTTTGCCAGTCACCAGGAACAGCAGGATGGAGGCTGGTATTGTCAAAAGCAGCAGGATCACTCCTTTGGGCATCCAAAGCTCTGAAAGGCTCAGAGACCCATAGAGAATGACAAGCATATTTTAAAGCCCAGCCTCTTTCCTACGCAACTCTCCCTCACTCAGCTCAGGGTTACAATGCATCAGAAGAGAGACATGATGCTTGTGAGTCAGGGAGGAGGGCACTGTGCCAGCTGGCTTGGGCTGAGGCTTGAAGAGGCAGCAGTTGCCTGGTGAAAGGTACCCACTTGCAGATGGTGGCTATCGGCCAGGTCCTGATAGGTGACAGCCACTGATAAGCTCAGGACACTTCTCACCACTTGAGAGCTGTAGGAACGGCAATGCGTAGAGCTGGAGTCTGCCACCTTTGGCTCCACCCTGCAGCTGTGGCTGGATGCAGCCATCTGTTTCTATCTGAAACTAGGCCTGGATGGCACTCCTGCGCACCAACACTTGCTCTGTTCCACCCCAGGGGCATCTGCCTCTCAAACAGCTCCCAACTGCTCCCTAGGGAAGCTGGTATTTTTAATGTTTCTATAAAATATGGATGCTTTATAGTCCAGCTGCCTGAGAGGTCTGCCCGACGGAACTTATGGTGCAACTCAGACACGGGAGAGACAAGACTGACAAGGTGAAGGAGACAGCCTAGCAACTGTGAGTGTTAGGGCGAAACATGCAGAAAGGAGGCGGCAGCAGGAAAACCCCTGAATGGGACAGGAGTGAGGATGGCGAATGCAAGGGCTGTGGGGGAGAGGAAGCCTACATGGCTCCCAGTTGTGCACTCTCCAGCTCTGGGCAAGGTCTGTGGAAGGGAAAAGCCTCTGTCAAGCATCCAGCTCGCCCCTCCAGCATGCACGGCCCCCAGACTGAGAGCTCAGGCACAAGCTAAAAGCAGCTTGGCAGAGGGAAGCGTTGAAAAGGCTCTCTCTGGTGCGCATCGCTTGGTGCAAACAGCTGTTCTGTAGCATCATGACAACGGCCCTGTGTAAAGAACCTGGACAGGCAGCATATGGCTCTGCCAGCGACTGAATACCAGCCAGCAACTCCACAGCAGCCGTGCCAGCCCAGGCCGAGGGGCGCTTGTTACAGCAGCATAGCCTGTTCAAGAGCACAGCCACCAGCGGGGAAGCAGGCCTGGCTGCCTGCTGTGTAGGGCATCCCAGTTTTCCCCCCAGGCAAGACTGGTGGCTGGAACCAAGCCAGCACAGCCAGGGCACAGGGGATGAGGCATGACGGGGTAGCCAGGGACATTCCAAAGTATCTGCATCTTCACATGTTCCCCTCAAACCTACTTCTATCTGATCCCCCCTTCCCCTGCCATGGCAAGAGCTGTTCACATCAGTACAAGATATCTGCTATGATCAGCAGTGAAATAATCAATCTCTTAATCTACCCCTAACTGGGCCTCCGGATACTGCTAATTGAGATGAGCAGGGAGAAGGCACAACCTCAAGAGGCAGGGCTTCCTTTTCAAGACATGGTAAAGACACAGTCGATACCGACCAGCAGATTCACTTTGCAACCCAAGGGCCACACGCGCGGTGGTATTAAACAAGCAGAAATGCTACAGTAGGAACCGGTGGACCCTGTGAGCAGGCAGGGTTGGAGCTAGCTCTATGCAAGCAGAAAAGGGCACAGATCCAAACCCCACTATTGCCACAAACGGAATACAACATCCCACTGCCGATGGCAAGATGTTGGGCCTTTCCCACAGATGGACATGGCAACTAAGGGGCTATTGGTGTTTGGTGCAGCGGCCAATGCCTGAGATACATCAGTGCTCTTGGGGCAGCTGAACAGCAGCAGGGCCCAGCTTGGTTCACCTTAGTTCACTCCAAACTGGTAAACAGACACTGTCCTCCTCCACCCCACATCCCAAAGAAGCAATGTGTAAAATCTGTAGGGCAAAGAGCTGTGCCCAGCAACAGTCCTCCATGGGTTGGCTGCATGTGTGTCTCCTGCCCTGCCTGCCCTCTTGCCCTTGGCATGTGTAGTGAGACACCTGCCTGCATTCCCCGCAGCCATTCCCACCTCTGCTGGATCGCCCGGTGGATCTGCCATGCCAGCTCGATTGCCAGCTGCCACCCGGCT